ACATACGGTGGAGGAGGAGATTTGTACTCAACCTTAGGAGATGGTGAATAGTATGGTGGTGGTGGAGGAGAAGTGTAGACATATGGTGGTGGTGGTGACTTGTAATCAACCTTTGGTGATGGAGAGTAGTATGGTGCTGGTGGTGGAGAAATGTAGACATTTGGTAGAGGAGGAGTGTTGTATTCTACCTTTGGAGATGGTGAATACGATGGGAGAGGAGGCAAGCTATACGTGATTGGTTCATATGCTGCAACCATTGTTGCCATGATGATAACACCTAGAGCGTAAATGGGATGGGCTGAAGGCCCCATCCTAGAAGAAGATCTCATTATGATTTTGTTGTTTTGGTTTGTGTTGTAAGTAATGGGGTCATGGGTTGTATATATAGCAAAGCTTTTCTATACGTTCACCTCTACAATTTCCTTCCCCTGTTTTTGACTCCATCCAAGGAAATCGTGGAGGCATGTCTACACGATTCTAATTTGATGAGACGTGCACAAACATTCTGAGAACGTCAACGACAAACTTTCTATTATTAACGACATGTTCAAGAAGAATTGTGTACATCGTGGAAACATCGATCATTTGGTTCACTGAGCGAGTGTCTTTGTTTTTTAGTATCTAGTGTCAGTTTTTATATTTATTTTGTGATATTCCACTTACTTTTCTTTTTTTTTTTGTAAATGACATTCTACTTACTTATTCTCATATATTGGCTTGTTGGACAAACTCAAACTCGTTTATGTTTGATAAAAAAAAAGATTTGGACTATTTATTTCTACCATCGTGTTTTTGATCATCTAAACGCAGTACCGGCCCTGAGGGGAAGCATTACAAGCAACCGCTTCCGGCCCTCAAAAAATATTTGAAAAATTCAGCATTTTTTATAAGAAAATTATTATTATAGTATATAAATGTTCTTATAAAAACAGCCAATTTTTTGAAAATTGCTTCTGGTCTTTCCAATATCAGGACCGGTACTGTCTAAACGTAATACGTTAGTGACATGCCACAATATGATGCAAAACATATGTCTTTTCCTTATACCACGTATCCAAGCATGTCGCATTTTGCTCTGTGTGTTCCATTAGAGCATTCTAAGAAGCAAAATCTGCTCAGTTGTTATCTCTTGTTTGATAGCCTCTTTTCATTATACTCTACAGAAATCCATAAAGTTGCTTTATAAGTGTTATAAGACTATCTGGTTGTTGATAAGTATATTGTAGTGATTTGCCAATTTGATTTCGTGAAATCATAGATTATCATCCTCAGTTCATTTGTTTTAGCAAAAAAATGGATAAAAGCATGTAGTTTTTAATATGTGATCACATCAGTGATTAAGAAAAGGCATGGTTGTAAGTTGTAACTTGTAAATTTATTTAACTTGCAAGTTATATAAATTTTAGTGAAGTAGCCGTTTGTTTTAGAGGTTGATTTTTCAGTTTTTATATAGTTTTGGATTTTTGAAAAAGTAACTTTCATCCATCCAATCATATGATTTTAGCTAAATAGATTCCTTCATATTTAAGGGAAACAAATGTTTCATAATCTTGCCATTTTGAAGTCTATCCTCCATCTATGATTTTAGCTAAAGAGCTCATCAGCTTCTTTGTTATGTTTGATGTCTTATGTCAGATAACTACATAGGCGATGCATAGTGAGAAAGATTCTTCTAAAGAACTTAAAAAGGAGAAACTTTCACTTTTAAGGAACCAAAGAGAAATGAATTAGAAGACAGAGGATTTGAAGGAGGACCGTGAGGCATTCACTGTTGTTACTGGAAGCAAGACTTCGGTTCTTGAAGGAGAAGACACTGCTAATGCTAACGTTAAAGATATAACCGTTGAGTCTTTTTCAGTTTCTGCTCGAGGTAGAGTTCTTTTAAAGAACGCAACCGTTAAGATCTCAGATGGGAAAAAGTATGGATTGGTTGGGCCTAATGGGATGGGGAAATATTATATGATCAGAAGCGCAAGGAGATGAACAGAAAGTTTGAGATATTCCAGAAACAGGTTAAAGCAGCTAAGGGAAACATTGCTCAACTAGAGAAGTTAAAGGAAAAGGAGGCTTCTAAAGAGGTGAAAGATTATAACGTGAAGTTCCATTTTCCAGAACCAACTGAGCTCACTCCTCCTCTTCTGCAGTTGCTTGACGTTAGCTTCTGTTACCCTGAAAGCTAGAGTGTGTTAACCTCAATCTCAATGTCCAAGCCACACATTTTGCTTCTAGACGAGCTTACAAATCACTTAGACATGGAGAGTATAGATGCGTTGGCAGATGCTGCATTAGATGAGTTCAGTGGTGGAGTTGTGCTAGTGAGTCATGACTCCAGACTCATATCACGTGTGTGTAAGGATGAGGAGAAGAGTCAGATTTGGGTTGTGAAAGACGGAACAGTGTCTTTCTTTGAAGACACGTTTGAAGAGTACAAAGAAGAACTCCTAGAACAAATCAGAGAAGAGGTTGATGAGTGAAGTTTTATTGTTGGCTTCCAAAGGTAGAAAGAACTTAAGTTTCTTTTATAATCTTAACAGACTTGAGAAGTTTGAACAAATTTTAATCTTATACATTTGTGTGTTTTCATCATACATGCATCACACCATATTCGTTTTCCTTATGTGTTTCATTACAGCATGATTAGCACAACAAACATTGCTTTAGTTTTGTGATATTACTTGATGCTTAATAATTTGTTAAAGTTTTATTGTATGGTCCTTTCATCTTAAATAGACTTGGAGAAACTATAAACTTCGGCTGACCTAATCTCCTTGGTATTTAAATTGGTTTACTGAAGCAAACCACAAGAGTATGCAAAGACAACATTTGCTCAGAAGAGAAGCATAAGAGAGTTCAAATTAACTCATGTACACATGAAGATGTCCAAATCAAAAGGCAACACTAATAACGGAACTACGAAAAGGAAAGGGAGTCCAAGACTTAACAAACACCAAACACGATAAAATCAACTCCTAAAGAAACAAATCACTCAGTGGTGGTTTTGTTGATGAGAGACTTGTGGATGTGAGGGATCACACCTCCTCCAGCAATGGTTCCTTTGATGAGCGTGTCAAGCTCCTCATCCCCTCTGATTGCCAATTGCAAATGCCTTGGAGTTATCCTCTTCACTTTCAGATCTTTGCTTGCGTTTCCAGCCAACTCAAGAACTTCTGCAGTCAGGTACTCTAGAATCGAAGCCGTGTAAACAGCAGCAGTGGCACCAACTCTTCCATGTGCTGAAACCCTGGTCTTGAGTTGCCTATGGATACGACCCACTGGAAACTGAAATAAAGATAAGAAGCAGCATCCAAGTGAGACATTATACAACAACATAAAGAGATCCTCCAACATTATAAGAGCATCAAGGAACACGGTAAGCGACAAGTCTGTGCATTGATACTTTTTATGAGGCAAGTAAAGTAAACAACTTTTATCCGCTAAAAAGCTCTTCGTTTAGTTGTCCTAGACTTACCACAACCTTCTATCTCATTATCATCACAAGGACACTTCCATAAATTCAACAATATCAAGCCCATCCACTAACAGGGAAGTAAGTCAAATGAAAAGCTTTGACACTACACAACAAACAGCTTCATTACACTTGTATAACCTTCAGATCTAATTCCTAAACGACACTAACAAGAGTTCACGAGTACAGAAACTAAACTTCAGGGTAAAAGAGTCTCTGGGGCCTTTTTAAGATAACTAGCTAGACACTTTGCGGGGGCTCCGAACATATGACAAAACAGCAATACATACTAAGATATATATATATATATACACAACCAGCAATCACAAAATCCATACGAAATTATCAATAAGATTTGCAGCATATCTCATTACTAACTAAGTCAAACACATGTACGCAAGTAAAGGAGACAACTTTACTATTCAAATCACAAGAAAAAAGACTATCTAAAACCCTGCAAACATCACTCTTCTCAACTCCAATAAGAGTCAAAAAGGATTCGAATTTCAAGATACCCAAGAAGCTAGGGTTTGAGGGTTTAATAACATCAGATACACATCTACGCAAGTGGAGAAGAAAACAACTTTACTATTCCAAATCACAAGAGAAAAGACTCTCTAAATCCCTGCAAAAAAAACATCAAAAGGATTCGAATTTCAAGAAACCCAAGAAGCTAGGGTTGGAGAAGGGATCACCTGAATACCGGCACGAGCAGATCGAGAAATGGGTTTCATCTTGCCCTTATCTTTGTCCTTGTTAGCAGCCATCGTCTTCGCAGCTACGAGCCCTTTCCCTCCCTTTCCTGCCATCTTCTCGCTCTCTCGATTGGTGTTCCCTCACTTCTAGATCCTACACAAGCAACGATTAAATCAGATCTACTGAAAAGAATCGGAGAATCTAGAAGAAGACTATACACTAAACAACACAAGATCTGAAGGATAATCGTAAACAGATCCTGATTCTTGGAGAGAGAGAAGAGAGAAGTACCTGAGACGACGAGAGGCGATGAAACGAAATCTGGTTAGCGTTGAATGGGATGGGAGTTTTAAAGTTGGAAGTTTGGTGGGAGTTTCGAAATATTTTAAAAATCTTGGGGGGAACTTTTATTAACAACTTTGGCGGTTATAATTTTGCTTTTGGGGTTCTCTAAAGAAAAGGTTTCTACATATTGCGCTTATACCCTCTATTTATGAGCGAACTCTTAATGCGCTTCCATTACTATTCCTACGGGCTTCTCAAGTCCGTAGACTTTATCATCTAAGATTCGTTCCAAATTAAAAATATGGATATTTTTATTTTAAAGATCTAAACATCCAAGTCCAGATACTTTAAATATATACAATTTTATTCATAAATAACATGGTTTTGAAAATCAGATCGGTCGGTCGAACCAGTCCAACCTTCACGAAAGAAATCGAATTTGGTTCGGTTTAAAATTCGGATTTGAGAAAAGTCGATGATCCATATCAACTTTCAAACTTGGTTCTAAAAATTAATATGTGTTTAAATTATAATTAATATTTAATATATCATAATTAATGTTTAACTATTACTATTTAATTATTTTTTATTTAGTTCTATTTTTCTTAAGAAAGAATGTAAACAAATATATTTTTGGTTTTCAAATATTATTCTTATTTTGACGTATTCATAAAATATGAGATCTTAGCTATACAAATAAATAAATATGATAATTTGAACAATCAATAGTTTGGTTTTTATCAATTTCAATTTTACATAGTATTCACTTGTTTATTCTATATATACTTAGACTTATGCTTATTTTTTTAGTTCATAAAGAGAAAATAGTATATTATATGTAAAAATACATTATATATATATATATATATATTAAAATAGAAAACTCGGTTCGGCCGATTGACCCAATCCAATTAGTCAGACAGTAGCTATATCTAATCTATATCCAGTCCAGTTTTCAAAATATTAAATATAATTAAAATATTATAATTTTAAGGGTTCTAGAATTTTAAGCCGGCTCTCGTGAAAGAGAGAGAATTTTTGAGATTTCACGAATAAGAGCACTCCCAATGGGAAGTTCTAGTTCCGGAGTTCTCAAAATACATATATGTGTGTATGTATATATTAATATCTATACTATTAAAAATAAAGGCATCCTTGAAAAATCGACTGATGGAAGTTGTGTGCACCCTCATTAATGGCATTTTGGTAATTTATTTTCGGTCTTACATCTATATATATATATATATATATATATATATATATCGATTTGTTACAAATAATATCACATATTGCATATACCCGAATTATTCTCTTTCTTTCAATTAATTACTTTAACCATTAATTATTCTTTCTGTTCTCATTAATTATTTTCTCTCTTCTCATTAATTACTCTAACCATATTTCATACACTTATTGATTTCCAACATTATATTACACGATTTGGTATATGCATCATATATGGACTTTATAACCACATTCCATACTATATTTCATACATTTATATTGTATTATACACCTTATATTACATGATTTCAATCTATAGATTTTCAGCATTATACTTTTATGGTTGACTTTTTTGGTATATAAATCATATATGGATTTTATAACCATATTCCAAACTATATTTCATACATTTTAATTGTATTATACACCTTATATTACACATTATAATTTTTTGGTTAGCATTTTTTGGTATATGCATCATACATGGACTTTATAAACCTTCATTTCATTTATTTTGTGTAATAGACCTTCATTTCATGATTTATCTTCATATATGAAATATATTTTCATGTCTCACTAAATTTACCCGTATTTATATACCATACTATATTTCATACAATTATATTGTGTTATAGACTTTATATTACATGATTTCAATCTATATATTTTCAACACTATACTTTTTTGTTTACATTTTTTGGTATATGCATCATACATGGACTATATAAACCTTCATTTCATTTATATTGTGTTATAGACCTTCATTTCATGATATATCTTCATATATGAAATATGTTTTCATGTCTCACTAAATTTACCCGTATTTATAAACCATACTATATTTCATACATTTATATTGTGTTATAGATCTTATATTACATGATTTTAATCTATAGATTTCCAACATTATACTTTTTTTGGTTGACATTTTTTTGTATATGCATCATACATGGACTTTATAAACTTTCATTTCATTTATATTGTGTTATCGACCTTCATTTCATGTTTTTCTTCATATATGAAATATGTTTTCATGTCTCACTAAATTTACATGTATTTATATACCATAGTTAGACGACATATAGTGATATCAACCAAAAAAGATATATCATCACTCTCATGTTGACATTTAATGGACGAGATACGTTTTGTTAAGAAAATATTGCAAATACGGTTTTCTATAATTATCTTCCTACTAAAATAAGAAAATTGCTTTACCTACAAGTTATAGATTAACCACAATCAATATCATAGATTCCATAAATTTTGGTAACTTGCTGTAGTTGGATTACCATTAACTGTTAAACTTTAAACTTCCTAACTAATTCAAAATCTTCAAGAAATATTCTTTATTCCTCGAAAGAGATATTTTAAAAAATTGTATGAAATATTCTCCCCTATATTCGCGTAACCTAATTGTATATTGTCCCTACCTATTATAAATATAGCCTCTCTTAACCATTATATTTATCATCCCTTCAAAAACCTAAAACAAAAATGGTGAATAATTTGCAGTTGTCTTTCTTGAGCGATATAAAACCAAGGAAGACTGCTGTCGCATCCAAGTCAAAATCCTTCATACGTGGAGACATTTCATGAAAGACTAAGGGAGTCCATGGAACTAATCCTTTGTGATGCAAATGTAAATTTATCGTTTTGTATAGATTTTTGATTTAGGTATCTTCATTTCGTTAAAGTTTAACCTAAATGATAATGTTTTATGTTTATATAGGGAAGTAAGATCCATGCCTCGTGTAACAAGACATACATTCCTCGATTGGTAAAAGAAATTACTCAAATGCTTATGATTTATTTTTTGGTTATAAGTGAGGTCCAAATCTCAAATGTTTATGACGTAAGTCAGATGTTTGTTAATCCTGAAATACCAGAGACAGATGAATTTAAACAACGATATTTATCTTTTTCAACAAAAATGTTTTCACTTTATAATAGTATAGACTAAATTATAAAACTTGTTTATAATCGCAGAGGTAATGATGATTCTCGAGCGTTAACCATGGCTGAATCAAAATCGCAGAGGTAATGATGCTTCTCCATTGATCCGTTTTAGGATTATGTTTGTTTAGAAATAATGTTTTTAGTTATGTTTTGACAATCGCTTAATGATGATTCTCGAGCGATAATCCTGGCTGAATCAAAATCGCGTTTTGTTTTCACTCAATAATTTTCCTTTTAAATAATATTTGCTTTTTCTTGACGATTTATTGACTGATTTATTAATTATTTTGAGTTACCTTTGACTCTCATAAATTAATTTAATATTTTATTTTATGGTCAAAAAAAATTGAAGCCCTTCTTAAGCGCGGTCAAAATTGAATATTATTTTTATTGTTCAAAAATCATAGATGTAGTTATTTTAACTAACATAAATAAACTATATAAGAAGCGTGAGTCAAAATTGAATATTATGTTTATTGTTCGAAAATCATAGATGTAATTATTTTAACTAACATAAATAAACTATATAAGAAGCGCGGGTCAAAATTGAATATTATTTTTATTGTTCAAAAATCATAAATGTAATTATTTTAACTAACATAAACAAACTATATAATTCAATTAACATATTTATTGGATTCAACTACAAATTTGTAATACAATTTTGGGCATTTTCAATAGTAATGATTTTTCAAATTTACTATAGGCCATGGACCCATCCAATTTTGGTTTTAATCTAATATGTGTTTTAGTTCTTCATACTCTCACAACACTTGATTTTCTGGTTCTCGGTTCAATCACAAACTGACTCGGTTATGCAAAACTCAATGAAAAGATCCTACTAAAACGTTAAATATACATCAAATTTCACATATAAAACTATCATATAATAAAAATAGAATCATTTGATATATTTTGTTACAACCAAAATAAAACCCGCACTTCTAAAACGCGTATCAAAATCTAATCAATACTATTAAAAGAGAAAGAATCCTAAAAAATCTACTTATGAAAGGTGTTTGGACCCTTTCACTACATTTACCTAGTTTTTTGGTCTTGTCTTATATGTTTGTAACAAAATGTTAATATACAACATTACACCATATATAACCTACATTTCCTCCTTTTCCTTTCGTGAGTTAACCATATTATTTATCAAATATATATGTAATCTTACTTTAGACAATTTACTGATAATACAACTATTTTTGTCGACTAACCCACGAACCAAAACAATATCATCCCTATGCCATCGACTTCTAAACCAATTAATATATTTTGAAACTTATTTAAAAGTTTAACATATATCATACATCATATTATATTATGTCACTTACATTATATAATTCCAAATATTTTACAAAATCAAATTTAATAAAAACACATTAGTAACCAACTGTTAGAAACATAATTAGATATTTTACATCAAGTTATTCTCTATAAAAACAATTTATAATAAAAAAAATTATTTAAAACAAATTTTAAAAATATTGAAAATTTTACAAATCTATACTATTAAATTAGCCAAAAGAATCTACTAAATAAATCTTAAATCTCGCCAACTCAATAAATATAGCACTTATAAAATGTTCACAAAAATTAATAAGAGAATAGGTTAGGGCATTAGGGTCGGATACGGATCGGTTTATTTTGAATCTGAATTTTTCGGATCCTAAACATTTGGACACAAATAGGTATTTGAAAATTTTTGGTACAATTTTTTCTGGACTCAAGTATATTCGGATTCATAATTCAAATACCTGTAAAAACCTATAATTATCTAATATGTAGCAGGACTGGATGTGTTAAAAAAGGGATTGGATTGGTTTGGGTATTTAAGACCCAAAAGAATCAAAATACTTAAAACCCCAAAATATGAAAACACAAAAAAACCTGAAAACCAAAATAAATACTAAAAGTATTCAAATACCCAAAACATCCAAAATTT